AGACAGTGATGGCAGGCATCGTGTCCGGAGGGTGCCGGATCCACACAGGCCACGCCACGACACCAGCCGGCCTGCAGCTAGCACCTACTTCCCTAGTCATGCCTTTCTGGCGTTAATGGGAGGTTTGTCACTAGTCCCTTCCCAGTGGCACATTGGGAATGCTGTGTGCTTAGAGACCGGGTGGTGGCTTGCCTTAGTTGTCTCAGTGTCTTTCCTGTCCCTCAGAGGGGCCAAGAGCATGCATTCAAGGAGCCAGGACCCTTGGGGGACTTGGACAGTGCCCTGGGCAGATCCCAGGTGCTGCCCCTTGCCGCAACCCCTGGGATGAGAGGGAGGGAGGGTTCTTTTGCTAGGACCTTGGTGGCCCTGTGCGCTGTGCATGCCAAGAGAAAGGGGGGACAGCGTCCATCCTGTCCCTGAGAATTCTAGGGTCGCTGGGCATATATCTCGGTTCCATGTGAAAGAAATCGTCCTGCCAGATCCACTGTTGGAAACAGGCCTGGGATTGACCCCGACCTCTGTGACTGCTCCTACTTCCCCTTGCTGCACAGGTCCTGTGAGCACCTGGACCCTGGCCACGCCCGGGCCTGGGGGCCGAGCTCACTGTGGCCATGCCCCAAGTCCTCCACCTGCGCTCAGCCATTTAGCCTTTATAACAACCCCTGAAGGGAGGAACTCCTGGTCCCCCACTTTACCATGAGGAAACTAAGACACGGAGGGGTCACACAGCTGTCGGTGGCAGAGCTGGGCTTTGGCTGTGTGGAACAGCACCCTGGAGGCTGAGGGCCTGGGGTGTGGGACAAGCAGCCCCCTTGGGACAGGGCCTAGAGAGGGACACGCGTAGGGCTGAGGGAGCGTAGCAGTCAGAGCCCCCGTCACTGCCAGGAGAGAGAGTGAAGTGTGAGAGGCTGGGGGCTGCGTTCGTGCCCAAGGAGCTAGCTCAGAGCTACCCCTGCTCTGCCCTGAACCCAACTTGGTTCCCCGCCATCCAGAGTACTCATCCCACTAAACCTCCTGCTCAGCCCAGCGATCCCACTGCCCCCTGCTTGTTTTCCTTTCTGTGGGGGCTTTCCCCAGTCCACTGGCCTCCCTTCTGCCTCTTGGAGCCTGGGGGGTCCTTTCAGGCAGATGAGTAAGGGGACCTCTCGCAGCTCCTGGTTCCCTGTGCTCACAGTTGGACAGTGGGGTTGACCCTGGCTGCCTGGGACCGCCCGCCACCATGACTTGGGGCAGCTATTTGGTTTTTGTCCACCCCTGGCTTATCTCCTGCATGATGACCTCCATGGGGCAGGAGCTGGACCAGTGTGTCCATCCCTGAGGTATGCCCAGCTGCGCTGTCCCATGCAGATGCATGGATATATTGTTCACTTCTGTTTGGTCCTGGTTCAAATCTGCCTGTCCTTTTCAGGCTGTACTTTGAAGGTGTTTATTTGCACACATCCATCCATGGTCACCATCTGATAAGCCTGTTCTCTGAAGTCCTTGGGAGTCACCATGCTAGGGAGCTGTTTTCTTAGGTTTATCACTGGGGTGGTGAGTTCATCTGTGAGTGGGTAGGGAAGCCTGGATCCTAACCTTCCTGGACAGGGAGCCCTGCCAGGCTAGGGCCCTGCATGCTGCCTTAGTTATCTAGTGCTGCCGCAACAGAAAGACCCCAAGTGGCTCATTTTAACAAACAGACTAGGAATTTAACTTCAGGGTGACGACCCCTGGGGAAGGCTGTCTCTCTGTTGGCTCTGGGGGAAGGCCCTCATCTCCTTACAGCACATGTGGCCCAGTGTCCTTTGGAGAGCTCTGTGTTCACCGGCATCAGTCTTCTTCTCGGTCTAGGAGATTCTCAGCACAGGGACCTTGGGTCCACTGCTGCTGACGCTTCTTTCTCAGTGGTAGGCAGTCCCACTATCTGCATTAGCCCCCCTTTCCTTTCATCTCTGTGAGGGTAAGAGCTGATGCAGGCCACCCCAGGAAACTCCACTTACGTGGCGTCGGGACTGTGGCCTGTTAAGGTCATTGCATTTCACCCTGGTCCCCTTATAGCTGATTAGCCGATCGCATCTCATCGGTTTTTGCCCTCTCATAGTTGCGAAACCACTGATAATCATCGTCCAGCCAAGTTGACACATGATTAGGGGGTTGGGGCGGCAGGGGGGACACCATGAAGTCCATGACAGGGATTTCCAAGCCTGAAACCCACGTGGATACTCAGGGCCTTTTTCAGTTTTGTCCGAGCCTGTGGAGCACCTTGCTACCACTTTGAGAGAGGTGGCAGTGCAACAACTGCACGGCTCTTGGTGGGGTCGTTCTAGCCCCTCCGTGCACGTGGCCAAGGCCAATTACCCGCCCCTACACAGCAGGCACCGCCAAGGCTGATGGCGTCCTCTCCTCCCTGGCCTCAGCTTCCGCCTTCCTTGTGAACCTAGCCCCACCTGGTATCTCGCCTGCAGCATCAGGGTTGGAGGCAGGAGGGCTCCTGCCTGAGCAACCGACAGTCCTTGTGGATATTGTTCCAGGGCTGATGGGCAGCCTACAGCTGGACTTGGTCATCGACACTGGGCAGTCAGGAGCTAGCCCGAATCCACTGCTTTCCCATATCTCCTGTGTGGCCTCTTTCCATGGAGCGGCCAGTGGGTTTGAACCGCCGACTTTTAGGTCAGCAGCCATGTGCTTTAACCACCTGGGCTCCTCGTTTAGAGGCATGACCCCAAAAAGCAAACCATAAAAACAAACTCACTCTCAGGAAGTTGATTCTGACGCATAGCAACCCTGTAAGACAAAGTAGAACTGCCCCTCCTAGGAGGTTTCCAGTCTTGAAAGGAGTAGGACACCTTATCTTTCGCCCTTGGAGCAGTTGGTGGTTTCAAACCGCTGCCCTTGCGTTAGCACTCTGACACCAGGGAGCCTTTCACAGTGTTTGCCTGGGTCTGGGATCCGTCCGATGGGACATCCTTCGGGCAGCTGCTCTCGGCTCTCCCGGCTTGTTCCTGGGGGCCCTACTCTGCTCTCTGAGCTCACACCACGCAGTGCTGGCAAGCTGGGGGCTCCAGTCGGGGGACCCCACCACCATCAAGTCCATTCCGGCTCACAGCGACCCTGTCCGAGTGGCCGGTGGGTTCGAATGGCAGGCCTGACTGCTAGCAGCTATGTGCTTAGCCCATAGCACCACCAGCAGACTTCTCATCTGACCCAGGGCCCTCTGAGTTGCCCACACTTGGTCCAGGACCTTGAGTGTGTTTGTGATCACAGCTTGAACACATCCCAGCAGGAAAGGTGGGCCCTGCTGCTTGGAGCCACCTGATATCGCACCCACTCTCACGTCGCGTCCGGAGAGCTGATCTGAAGCGAAGTGGGCTGTGCACGTCCCATTGCCCGCAAGTCGGAGCTCCTTTCAGCCAGTATGCCTTACCCGCACCCGGCCCTCCTCGTTTCCTTCCGGGTCTGCAACTTAACCAGCAGAGGCAAACAGGGCCGCTCGGTCCTTAGTCCAGTGCTCTTATGAACCGGCCCTCTGCCTGTCACCTGCCATGGCAGAGCCCGCTGCCCTCGAGAGCGGCCGAGCGGGCCAGGGCTGTGCTCCCCGTGCTGTCAGAACTCCACAGTTTCGTGCCATTTTTCTGGCATCTCGTTGAGAGTGGGCTTCCTCAGGGGCGGGGAGTATTCTGACTGTTTGGGCTCTGTGGCATAGTGGTTACATGCTGGGCTGCTAACCACAAAGTCAGCGGTTCAAAACTCCCAGCCGTTTCAGGGGAAAGAGTAGAGGTTTGCTATGCCTGTGAAGAGTGACAGTCTCGGAAACCCACAGGAGCAGTTCCAGCCTGTCCTGTAGTCTCAGTGTGGCAGCACCGACCTGATCACAGGGAGTCGGGTTCTGAGCTGTGTGTGGGTCTGGAGCAAAGGAGACAGGGAGCAGGCTTCTGAGGAGGACTTGCTGGGTGGCACTCCTACCTTTGCCCCTCTCAAGGCCCGTGTTGGCCATAGCTAGCTCTCATTGAAGTGGATGGGTCTCTGGCCTCTGTGGCTGAGGCAGGCTGGTGCTGGCTGTGTCATGGGGTGGCCGGCAGGGCTGCTGTTTGGCTCCCCCACCCCTCCACCTGGCAGCCGTGTGCTCCCCACTACTGAGGAAATTCCTTACTCACCAATGCCCAATTACCCTGCAAGGCTCTGAAGACAAGCCTGGGAGCCGGGTGCATCCTGCAGAACCAGCCCTGCATGACAATTAGTTAACCCTCAATCAGAGCAATTATAGGTAATTGGCAGTTATGGCTGGCAAGACTAAACTTCTCCAGCACAGGAGGGTGGATGGTCAGGCCATGGGTTCCCGAAAGGTGCCAGCCCCAGCCCTTGACGTGCCCTGGGCAGTGTGTGTTGCTCTGAGGAGGGACAGCCACACAGCCCCTGGGGCTCTTCTAAGTACCTGCCCATGGGCAGGTGGGCAAGGAGGGTGCACTTGAACCTGCTGCTTAGAGAAAGCCACGTTGGGGGCCGGGCCCTGTGGAGGGGGTGAAAACAGCCCTTCCCCAGCTGAGGCTGGCATGTGGAGTGCCTGTGGGACCAGGGCAGGATTTGAGTCCCCTGCTCAGTCCTCTGGGAGCAGAGTCTCATGCAGAGGTCCTGGGGCATATGGTGGGGGAGGGGTGCGGGTGGTCCTCCAGCCCCTGCAGCAGTATCAGGAACTGCCCTGAGTGCTGGGGGATGGGGGGTGACCCTGGCACAGCTGGGGTATCCATCTTCACCATCCTAGGCTGGGATCTTAATCGGGACAGCTCTCCCATGGCTGCAGAACCATGCTGGCCCCTGCTGGTAGCTGGGCCCTGCTAGAGCTGGCTCCTGCCACGCTGACCTGTCTGGTTCTTCAGCTGACCCCTAGCCCAATCTGGGGGTGCCTCGTGCTGCTTGGGACCTGGTCAGAGCACAGCAGGGCTGGGATTTGCCCTTGACGGGTGGGAGGGCACGGTGTGTGTGTGCTGCAGGACCCCACCCTGACAAGCCCCTTCCTCCCACAGCCTCTTCGAGCACTACTGCTACTCTCGGGGTGGCATGCGCCACAGCTCCTACACCTGCATCTGTGGCAGGTAAGGGGACCGCCGGGCTCCAGGGACTAGGGGCTGGGCTCATGGGAGGAGGTCCGCTCCACCCTCCCCGGGGGAGACACCCATCCAGATCCCACCACCCAACCTCACAAGTCACTCTTCCCTCATAAGACTTTGCTAGAGAGGCAGCATGGGTTGAGGAGGGGGAGCCTTCCCACTGCAGGGGGGGCGGGGCAGGGCCCCAGGCCAGTACAGACTCCTGACACTTGAAGCCTAGCATTGGAATGCCCCTTCCTTACCCCCTCCTCTCAGGTACATCCCCAATCCCTGCATGTGGGGCTGAGCTGGGGCTGCTCCTGGGAGAGTGGGGGCTCCCGGCCCCTCCCCTCCGGGCCAGCCATGGCTCCCTGCTGCTGGGCATGTCCTCACACATGAATAATGCATGCGGACAGCGGGGCCGGGGCCCCGGAGATGTTCTTCTCTGGCAGATAGAGAGAAAAATCATTATTTCTACTTTTATGATTCCTGAGACTCCCAAATGATGCCATAAATATTACACCCAGGTGGTAGTGGTTGTTTTTTTTCTCCCTCTTTCCCCTTTGGACTGCCCTAAAAGTCAGGTTTTTTCCTTAAAGGCAGCTCATTAGGGAAGCTCTGCGGAGTGGAGGTGGCTGTGGCTGGCCCTGACCCCCCTCACCCCCATCCCGGCCCCTCCTTGCTCCTGTCAGCCTCCAGGGAGCAGGGTCCACCCCCACCCCCCTCATCCACACACCTCAGCTTGTCCTCCTTCCTCTGGGGCTCACAGCATGCAGGGCTCACAGCGTGCAGGGCTCCTGTCCTTGCCTCCCCAGCCCAGAGGGCCGCCCTCCGCAGACGACTCTCAGGCCCAGCCCCCGGCCACTGTGCCCCTCGCCCCTCAGGCTGGAGGAGGAATGGTGGTGCCAGGTGGAGGTGGGCACTGAGCAGCCTCCCTCTCCCCCCCGCAGTGGTGAGAACTCAGCGGTGCTTCACTATGGACACGCCGGGGCCCCCAATGACCGCACCGTCCAGGATGGAGACATGTGGTAAGTGAGCCTGCCCCCCACCACCACCCCCTGCCCGGCCTGCTGCAAAGTCTCAGGGCCCTCTCCTGAGGAGATACCCGCTCTCCTCAGTGCTCAGAGGCCTGCAGCAGGGACGTCGAACTCCAGGGAGCCACCAGGCTCAGCCATCAGAGCCCTGGGTCCTGCCTCCCTCCCACTGAGCCAGCATGTCAGGGGTGAGGCTTTCCTGAACAGTCACACATGCTCATGGGTCCTCGTGGAAATGATGACTCAGAAGACGTGGCAGGTTCTGTGGCCAGTCAGGGCAGCCCAGGCCATGCAGCAGACTGTCACAAGTCAGCCAGGCCACCGGGGTATGACCTTCAGTCGTTTGGCTGTGGATGTCAACCAGCAGACAGAGATGCACTGTCCCACTCTGGCACCTTTCCATCCTGGACGCTGGCGTACTCCTGGACATGGCTTCCTCTGAGTCCGGTGTGAAGGCAGAATCCTGGGACGCTTGAATGCGCATGCACAGACCTGCAGATGGGTCGCTGGCCGGCCTCAACTGCTGCTGCCAAGTATGGTGGTTAACGTTGTGTGCCAGCTCGGCAGGACCACGACTCTCTGGTTTGGCTTTTGTGGTACTGTCATCCCCATAATGAGATCTGATAGAATGTAACCACTTCCATGATGAGATCTGCCAAGAACAGCCAATCAGTTGAGAGGGAGTTTCTTTCCTTAGGGGTGTGGCATGCTTCCAATATATATAAATGCTCTGGCAAAGCTCTCTAGCGCTTTGTCTTATATCGGATTGGCTCTCATCATCTAATCACTGGTTCTTGGGACTTGAGTCCGCCTTGGGATTTGTTAGCCTTTGCAGCCTGTGAGCACGGAGTCCTGGTGGTGTGGTTATGGGTTGGGTTGCAAACTGCAAGGGCAGCAATTGGAAACTACCAGCTGCTGCTTGGGAGAAAGACAGGGCTTTCTACCCCCATAAAGTTACAGGTTCAGAAACCCACAGGGGCAGTTCCACCCTGTTCCTCAGGGTTACTAGGAGTTGCTATCAACTCGATGGCAGTGAGTTTGATTTCTGTTGGCAGAAATGAGCCTATGAGCAAGCAGCCTACCGTCTTAGAATGGTGGGAGCATATGTAGGGTGTCACCAGAAGTGCCCACAGAGGCGGGCATGCGTGCTGCCACTCTGCGTTGTCCACTGGCCTGCCCTCCAGTTTCCAGATCTGCCTGATGCCCTAACGCCTCAGCACCCGTCATGCAGTGAGTCACGGCTGTTGTCCCAGCCTTAGGTATTGGCCTTGCCCAAGGTGGGGAGCTAAGTATCAGAGCTCAATGCCCCTTCCTAGAGTGACTGATGTCCTCCGGGGCTTCAGATCCAAGGATGGCTATGAACTTGATGGGACGCCTGCACCTGGTACCAGGTGTGTCCCCTCATGTGCATCTTCTCACCCAGTCCTCCCCGTGCCCCACGAGGTGGGTGGTTCCCCCTCAGTTTAAAGACCAGGTGGCTGAGGCCATGGAACCAGAATGTGGGCCCATAGGGGTGGGATGGGGGGCCCAGGGAAAGCAAGGCTGGCGTGGCCTGCCTTTGGCTGCCTCTCATGCCTCCCAGCTGCCCCGAGGGGGCTACAGTTGGCAGGAGAGTGCCTGGCCGTTAGACTCTCCTCTGAGCTTGGTACCCCAGTGAGTGACTGCCTCTCCCCTCTCCTCTTAATCTGCGCCAAAGACGGTCCTCAACCCTCCAGAAGTGGATCCCCATTATACTTGTACGGTGGCCTCTGATGGGGGGCTGGCACCTGCCTCCCAGCCACAGCTGCAGAGCCTGGAGCAGCCCCAAGAATGGCAACCCAAATGGGTGATTTTATTCCTGTTTTTCCTCGTACTAACTTTGAAATGTAGCCAGTGGAATAATGATGAGTTTGTCATAGTCAATTTATTATGCAGCATTAAGTACAACATGTTTTGTTGATTACCGTGACTGCCAGATCGAGGGTGGCACTTAGAGTCCATTGTTTTATTGAAATTGATCTGCGGAGTGAGGTAAACAACAGATCAGCCTGCGTTCCCAGCATGAGCCTCGGCCCATCATCCGGAGGCCTGGAACTAGAGGACATGGCCGGCACAGATGTCTTCCAAAACCTGAGTGACGCCCAGTGAGGCCGGGTGTCCTAGATGGCCATCACAGGGGCCACTCTGGGTCTCTGCCCTTTGACCTGGGAGGAAAATGCCCCTCCCCGTCTCCCATCCCCACACAGGGAATCTGATAACAAGCACAGAAGCCCCTGAGTCCTAGTGCCTGCCTTCTGTGTGCCTCGGTGTCTCCCTCAGTCACTGGGGGCTCTGGTGGGCAGCCCCTCACTCTGGAGAGGATTCAGTGATGACCAGTGCTAGAACCTGGGACAGCCACGCCCTCCCTGGCCAGTCCCCAAGGCCCCTCCTTTGCATGTGCCTGGATGGTCCTGCAGACCCGTGGTGTCTCTGGACTAGAGGTCAGAGCCATAGACTGAGCCTGAGCCGGACCTGGTCATGGATGTATTAGGTCAGCTTGTCCAGAGAAACAAAAGCAGTGACTTCAAATATGTATAAGAAAGAGCTTGATATCAAGAAGTAATTATTATCTCAAGAAAACATCCCAGCCCAGTCCAACTCAAGCCTAGTCCATAAGCCCCTCTTGGGACTCAGGCAGCCACATGCCATGATGCAGAATGCAGGAAGATCACAGACCAGTGGGTGCAGAGTCTTGTGGATGCACGGTCAGGGGAAGCATGGCAAGGCCCAGGCAGCTCTTGGGGTCAGTGGTAGAGTCCCAGGGAGCAGGAAGGTCAAGTAGCAGTGAGAGGGAGGGAGATCCCCAGGGTCCTCCCCATAAGAAGGCCACACCCCCAAGGAGGCATTATCAGGGGTGGCATCCAACCTGGTTGCCACACATCACACATCTTCCAGTTGACACGAAATCATCTAACCGCCATAATGGGCCACTCCGGAATTGGCCTTCCGGTTCTGTGTTCAGCCTCTAAGAGTCCTCTCTGAGTGAGTCATGATGGGGATTGAAGTTGGCCAAGCCCTGCTCTGTCCTTGAAAGTCCCCATGAACTGAGCCACAGCCACCATCATCACCAGCAAAGCCTGTGAGTCGGGCACATCGGTTCTTGCCACACAAGAACTGTAAAGAGCATTTTGAGGGCCATTGCTCACACCCTGAGCCAAGGCATGGTATTCCTGTCAGTCACCCGGTGGGCCTGTGACAACCGGACAATGCATAAGGAGGCCTTCAGAAGAGTGGGCGCACCTGAATCGTGGTGGAGAAGAATGTTTACAGTACCAGCAGAACAAACAATTCCGTCTTGAAAATATAGCTCCTTGAAGCGAGGATGGTGAGACTTCATCTCGCGTACTTCAGACGTGTTACCAGGGGAGACCAGTCCCTGGAAAAGGGCCTCGTGCTTGGCAATGAAAAAGAGGAAGGCTTCTGCCGAGATGATTGGCGCAGTGGCTGCAACGCTGGGCTCGGCCGGGAGGCTGGTGCAGAGCCAGGAGGATCTCATCGTGTGGTGGTGTCGCTGAGTCGGGCAGCTCAGTGGCACTGAACCGCTGGGTCTCTTCTGCTTTCGCTGGGTTAGATCTCGAGGATGGAGTCATGGGTGAAGGAAGTCTCTGGGTCCTTCTCTCTGGACTCTACCCTTTCCTGCTGCATCCCAGGGTCAGCACCCTTCATCCTCAGATTCCATCACCAAGTCATGATCCTAGAGGAGTCACCAGCTGCCTCTTGGATTTGTTCTTAAAGCAGCTGGGCCAAACGCAAACCACACTGTCATCTGACTCGGGGAGCCTTAGAGGGCCTCTAGAGCAACTCCTGGGGGTTACTGACCTTAAATCTTTACGGAGCAGACAGCCTCATCTTTCTCCTACAGTAGCTGTGGGGTTTGAACCAAAGACCTTTTGGTTTCCAGCCCAACACCTAAGCCCACAGTGCCACCAGGGCTGGCCTCCTAAAGCAGAGTTAGAAAGTGTGGCCCCTGCACATCTGTCTTTCAATGGGCACACACAGAGGACAGCAGCCGAGGTTAGGTGGAGCCCTGTTTATGTGTGAGGCCCCAGACACCCCTTTCCCAGTATGCTAGACGGGGTTCTCTAGAAAAACAAAACCAGAATGCTAATAATTTTATATATATTTATACAGATAGATAGATGTATAACATAAGAGATAAACAGTTAATTAAATTATAAAGCAGTACAAATGGCTCAGTGCAACTCACTCCCGTGAGATAGTTGGGAGACACTGGCAATCCTTCAAGTCTTGAGGGCCACCAGGTAGTCCTCTGTATAGCAATTCAGCCTATCCGGTCACAGGCAGCAAACAGCCAGGCAGGTCACCAACAGTCAGCCAGATGACAGGGTC